TTCCACAACCTCTTGTAAATTTTTAAAAATTCCAAGTCTTCCCCCTTCCCCCCTTGATTCAAATAAAGCTATGACAATTTATTTTTATTTTGGTTATTATCATCAACAGTAATATAAGATAAAAATTACAAAATTATACAATTTTAAATTATTGTTTTTAATTTAGGAGACTACGTAAACGTGAACATTTTATAATTTAATAAATATTTCAATCCTCACAATTTCAGCATCACTATATCACCATACAGGAATGGTATCCTCGGGAATTTTCCCCTAATGAAAAACACCAAACTTTATTAATCTGTAGCACTTGACAAAATAAATTACAGATTGCTGAATTATAACCTCAGAATAAATGAAATTATATTTCTCAAAAATTATAAAAATATTTTCGAAAACAAAAATTACAAAATATTGTGGAACAATAACATTTCAATAGAATGAAAATTAAATGTTTTGAGTATTCTATCATAAGCCGATATTTTTTTAAAATATGTAATTGTAAAAAATGAAATAATATACTTACGTATCGTGAAGTTAACTTGTGCCGGGCGTGATTATGTTTCAACAAGCAGAAATTATGCTAATAATCTTAAACAACTACAACATACTGTTAATTTTCAAACACGATATGAACCAGCAATTAACAACGCTTAGTTCATCGAGCGTCTTAAACATATTGTACAGTTGACTTACACTCATCTTACTCAGTACTCTTAAAACAGTCATCACATATTTAATTTGCTATATATTTATCAATTATGATCATTAATTTGTGGGCGTATAGGAAAGTGATTAAACTGTATCTTTGTAACTGAATAATGTACTAGAGATTAAGAATATGTTTCTATATACTAATATACTTGTAAAATTGCACTAATGAAATTACGAATGAAAAGAAAAACATATAACTTGTTGATTTTGCCTCACATGAACGAAACACGTTATCATTAAAATGTTGCTCGTATCGCTCCAGCTATATTATCAAAGCATTTTATAATTGCATTACTCTTCAAAATTTTAATACAAAATTAATAGTTGGTAGAACAGACCAATTGTTTTTACAAACAACAGCAAATAAGACACATTTTTATTCATAGGTTTAAAATGTAATTTTATCTACTCGATCGTCTATTATTTGAACTGCAATTAAATTATATTGACAACCGTTAGCTATTAAATTAATAAACAATTAATTATGTGTGAATAAATAAGTTAATTTCGACGGTAAAATTAATATTTTTCGTTATCTGTATATAATAAAACATTATTATAAGTTTGATTTTTCATACATTAATTAATTTTACTTTTCACAGAAAAAATATTAATGCAATTATATCATAAGCTTAAAGTTATTTTCCCGATCTAACATCGATGACGGATTGTTAAAAAATGATCTGATGTAATGGGTATCTAGCCCAAGCTTCGTAAATAGTAAACAAACTATTAATGCACTTTAAATACTTGATGTTACTGCATAAAAGGCCATGAAGTTAATGGAAGATTATAATTCTACATTAACTTTGAATAAGATCGAAAACAGTTTATAATAAAATGTGTGAAAGAGCATAGGAAAATATATCCAGATTGTAAAAAATACTTATTAACCAGTATTCAAAGGGCCTCTTATTTTAATCTATATTCTTTATCCCTCCACTTATTTTATCCAAAAACAATATAACCCTTATAGTTATATACAAAGATTATCGATTTATATTGGTCTTTTTCATATAATTTTTATTTTTTTTTTACGATGTATATTACAATATATTTTTAATTAGTTTTACAGTAATACAGTTTTTTTTTCTGAAATAAAACAAGTATTTTAATCTCATTTAAATTGCATCACGTGACGTCTAAATCTAATGAATCTAAACTTAATTTCTTATGATTTTATATTGAAGGAAATGTAAATAAGAATCACAAAACTGAATTTTTATGTACCTATACACTCGTAATTATATTTTGATAACTAAAATATTTTTCTTGTAATTAGTTTACGAATAGCGACCATCAAAAATATTTTACGACCCATAGGTTAGAAAACGGTGCCATATTATATGAGAAGTTTATAATTTTAGACATCTTTCTACTTAATTTGAGCCACTTCGATCACTGATTATAACATTATTAGTTATTGTTATTATTGTAATGTATCCAATGTTCGTGGTATATTGTATTTTTTATGATATAAATGTTAATTTTATACAAAATTATAAATATAATTAACCTACGTCCTTAACATTGTTTTTTATAGAGAAGTTAATATACTTCATAAACGGTATGAGATATGAAAATATTTATTTCTTTAAGAGTTAAAGACAATTTAGTTTTCTTTAAAATATATCATATATCATGATGAAATATTTTGAAAATCTCAAAATTCAAGCTGGTTCAAGTTAAATTTAACTGATTGGCCTCAAACTTCTTGTAGATAACTAAGCTACAGTCAAATTTTAAGTAAAAAAAAAAAATAATAACAAAATAACAATCAAGTTAATTATGATATAACTTTGTTTGACATTAAAATTAGAAAAATTATTAGAAAAAGTTGGTCAAACTAACCAAAGTTAAGTTTTGGAAATTCTTACGAAATAACTCTTGGTTAACAAACTTTTGAAAGTGGTTTAACAAATATAACAAATTCACGCCATCTTGGTAAAAATACGACTATGTTAGGTATCTCTTAAATACCATGTTTTTCTTGTATTATCATGTTTATTATATATTCAAACGTAGTGGTTAAAAAAATACAATACCAAATAACATATTCTGTATACTATATGATGGTGATGAGTCGAACTGTTTGAAATTCGAACTCGGCATGAAAAAAAATCAAACCGAACTATCAAGCATCTTTTACTGGTCGAAAATCAAACCTGAAAATATTTGTCGAACCAGACTTACTGATCACGATAGTTCGAAAACTTAATATTTGTATAATTCTTCAAAAGTAATTTTTAAAAAATAAAAATTGATAATGATTATTTAGAAATAATTAGACTACTGGCGATAGAAAGTGATAATCTGTAAAGGGCATGTTATGCATTATTTATAATAATAATGTTATTTTTCCAGTCGCATGTTACACATCCACCCTCCACCAACCAAAACATTAATAAGTTGTTTATCGCCAATAGAGGCAGTGTGTCTACATTCATAAATTAGTTATTATAATTTTTATCATATTTATTATAGAGGTTAAAATCTATTTTGGGTAAATCCATGGTAATATTCCGATACCGTGACTGTGCTGTTAATAAAAACATGTTTACAACTTACGTCTTACATTATAAATTCTACTAATCATTCTATATTTGTGAATTATAGTTATTATTACTATTTTTTTTTATATATTATTAAAATGTACTATGATTGTATTGTCATATTACACTCAATACTCAATGAATATTTTATAAGCTACAAGACAACACGAGAGAGAACAATACTGGTTTTGAAAAATAATAATAATAAGAAATTATCTAAAATTTAAATGTTTTGTAAATAATACAATTACTTAGACTTAAAAGTTAAAATGTAGAATACAATAGTAATTAATAATTATGGTTGATTTAATTTGTACAATGTACAAGATAAAAAGTATTGAGTACGAGTTCCAGTTCGAAAAAATAATTTAAAGTTCGAGTTCGAAATCGGTTCGATTTAAAAAATCAGGGTTCGACCCATCACCTCTATATGACTGAAAATTGATTGTTCCATTTTCAATTTTATAATTATATAATTTCATTATATTTATTATTATTGTTTTAATAAAATCTAAACTCTAAGGTATTATTCATTCTATCGATAGATATATTGAATACAAATTGTTTACTTGAATAATACATCAGCAATAAATAGAAAACGCTTGTTAAGTTAATTGTTTTTATGAAAAAATACACTACGCACTTAGTCTTAACAATGGACAAATATTTACTTCTCATAAGTATTATATACGCAATTTATCGAACCATTAAATATTATAATTAAGATTATCATTAGTTCACAAATATTACAGATAATCAAATATTTCATTGTATATGAAGATGGCACAGCCGTTGTCCGCGTCCAACATTTTTAATCGTCGGGCTTTCAATAATATTGGTTACAAGACCCCGAATTTTCGTAAGGGTTTTGTACGGATTTTAATTTTTTCATACGACATACTCGTTTTTGATAAGCTGCTGAACTCCGTCTAAGTATAACACTGCACCAAGAAATGAAAATTAAAATAAAGAATAACAAATCGTATAGAGGTATGAGCTATGAATAAAAAGTGTATAGTCACCATGTAAAATGTACCTTCTAATGGTAGAACAGTATCAGTATTCAGTAAATAACATAATTGAAACAAAAATAATATAGCGTAAGCATATAGACAATTTGGTACACATTTCTACTCGAAAAAAAATTATTTTTTAATTAGAAATTCGCATTGTATTCAATAAATAAATGATTTTTCAATAATTTGGATAAAATACTACGGTTATCAAACCATAATATTTGTTTGAAATAAATTATTTAAAACCGTTTTATATTTAATCGCACTTCCGTATTTACTAATAGATGTAATAATGATTCGATCTTATTAGATGAAGATTAAATCATTACAATTAGAAAACTATAGACATTAAATTAATTATGTGCCATGTTTTACATGGATCCGAAGAGCCCAGGTCAGAACCTCGGAATTTTAAAAGCCCCAAATTTGCAAAAATCATATTATATTGATGAAATGTCATAATTTTTAATTTTTTATATTGTAACTCAGGCAGTGGTGTATTTAGGAATTTTGTTGGGGGATTCAGCTAATTTTCCAAACATATTTAAGTGAGGGACTCCTCCTTTCTTCCACAACATGACACTTAAAAATAAATTAAATTTATTACATTGCATTAACATAAAACCATTATGATATTTATATTTATTTGTTTTTGAACATATAAAACTGGAAAAATATTATTATTAAATCTCTAACATCTTTGTTGTTAATCAACATTTTATACCGACATTGTTATAGATGAGTTTTACATTAAAAATATTGGATTGTTAGAGGTGATTTCAATAATTTAGGCATATGGCTTATATACATTAGTTCTAACCTACTTATCATAAAAAAAGTACAAACAAAAATGTGAAAAAATATGCATTAACATAAATATTAAATCGAAATACACAAATTATTACTGTATACCTGTAAGAACTTAAATGTATACTGTACAAAAAAAAAGTGATAATTTTATAATAAAAATAACACTAATTGACAAAATAAATACAGTAGACGAAATATAGTAGCAATCAAAATAAGGGTTACATGTTAGATAGTATTACAAATAACGATAAAATCTAATCGCTTTATCGCTATACGGATTGGTTCTTGTTTGACGCCGCAGGTTCTGCAGGCTCATCGCAAGCCATGCTCGTTGAAGTCGACAACACTTAGCGTCAACTGCTGGTCTTCATCCAGTCGTCGCATCTCCATGGGCCGCTGGCGTAAACGGAAAGTCAAAAGATCGTATGTCCGTGGACTCTTTAGACATAATAGGGCTACGCACAAGACCATTATGAATAACACGTACATCACGATAGTGACGACGGTTGAAAGGACGGGCGCGGTTCTAGAAAGGGTGAAATTAATGTTGAACGCCTCTTCCGTTGTGTTGACTTTCTCTGGAAACTTTGTGGTAGACACTGATATTGGGGACGAGGATGGTGCTAAGGTCGATGACTGAGGTAATAAATGGGTTTGTGAAGGAGGCGGCAATGAAGTTGATGCTGGAGGTAGTAACGGGGTTGTTGAAGGAAGTAGTGACGAAGTTGATGCCGGAAGTGGCGACAGGTTCGATGACGGAGGCGGTGTGGTCGGAGGCGGTGTGGTCGGAGGCGGTGTTGTCGGAGGTGGTGTGGTCGGAGGCGGTGTGGTCGGAGGCGGTGTGGTCGGAGGCGGTGTCGTCGGAGGCGGTGTCGTCGGAGGCGGTGTCGTCGGAAGCGATGTCGTCGGAGGCGGTGTGGTCGGAGGCGGTGTGGTCGGAGGCAGTGTCGTCGGAGGCGGTGTAAATGGAGTCGAAGACAGGGGTGTCGTTGATGGGTACGACTGATCTGATAACGAGTACGACGGCGATGATGATGTAACGTAATCAGAGAAACTGAAGTTCTGGGTAGAGACCAGTTTAATATCGAGCAACCCTAAGTACGTAACTTCCACGGGCCCGCTGTAGACCTCGGAATCCGATGCCCTCGGCTGAGACAGGGTGCACGTTATTGTTTTCCTGTTGGATACGTTTTTCGACGTGTCGCATTTACGACCGGCCACTCTGACGACCAACTTAACGTTCACACCGGCACTCTGCATGTTTGTTCTGAGCAACGTCTCGTGGTTGCGGACCACGATTTCCAACACGGTGCCACCGGCCCACTTGCCGCCGGTCGGCGCGAACGATTCGATCTTGACCGGCGCGCACTGGTCGCCGACGAACCTCACGGACTCGTCCAACGCCGAGTACGTGAGCTCGGGGTACTTTCGTCTGTCGCAGTACTGGAACGGCGGTGTTGTGCTGCCGCACCAGATGCAGTAGTACGCGTATCCGTCGTCGTTCCAGTGGCACCGCGAGCAAGACGCGACCGGCGTCCCGTTCCGGTGCTGGTAGTGGTCGGTCGCGTTGTCGAACCGCAGCGTCCTGTTGCTGGCGAACACGACCGACAGGTGCACCATCGACTTCTTGGACTCCGCGACCTCGTCGTGGCGGCCGCCCTCGCCGACCGGCGGCGCGTCCAGCGCGCACCTGATCCGGCCGTCGTCGGTGACCTCGGCCGCGTAACTGGTCGAGTCCAACCGGCACCGCACCTGGCTGGACATCTTCTTCAGCGACCCGACGAAATCCGTCTGGTCGTTGGAGATCGCGATCGTCGTCTCGCCGCCGCCGCCGGGCCGCCAGTCCACCGAAAACCTCGGGCAAGACGACTGGTCCACGACCGTCTTGCCCCGCTGCTTCGCGTTCGGTTTGACCGCGGTGCACGTTTGCGTCCAGACGGACCACTGGTACTTCGGCACGGTCGCGTCGCTCACGCACCCGGTGCACGTGCTGTACGTTTTGCCGCCGCAGTCGTTCCTGTCCGCTTGCGCGGCCGCCAGGTTCCCGTGCGTCAACTGAAACCGTAAACGAAATGCTAAACGTGAAACCGTGCGCGAAAATAATGCAATTATTTTTGGCCGGAAAGAGGGAACTGTTTTGTAGAAGTTTTAGTCGAAAAGAGGACACGGACGAAAAGAGTAAGGTAATTTTCGAACGAAAGTAGTATCGCCCCAACCGATATAGCAGGTATAGTTTTTGCTGACCGCGATGACGATAAACCACAACGTGCTTGTCCACTAAGAATCGGGAACAAAATCACGGAGAATACCTGGTACCCGAAAAATAAATTATACTAACCGACCGATGTAGTGGGTACAATTCGTGTACACCGTTTTCACGGGACGCGATCACGGTTCGGTTAAACCGTCGAAAATGGTTCGTGCGGGTACGGCGCCCTCCGTCATCGTAGGTCGTACGTACGAGATAATATTTTTCACTTGATTTGATTACACATATTTATATACATATTACGTATTTAATACTCAATTTTATTACACGTTATTATTATTCGAGTTTTTTTTTTTTTTTTTTTAATTTCAACGCGTCGGTAAAAACATTTATTTCATATTAGTCCTAAAAAAATCTCGCGGTGTTGAAGATGAATGGAAATGTTTTGAAAACTATAGCAGTTGTTACGGATGTTTGATGAAACATTATGGCGTTTTTTTTTTTTATATTATGTATTGTGATGAGTATTTTAATGGCTACAAACAAGTCATGTCCCAAATACGGAGTTGTGTCCGGTGTACTTTTTGGGGTTACACGAGTTGTCTCCAGTGGATTTTTTTGAGTTGCACGAATTATGTCCCGAAAAATAAAATATACAGGTACCTACATAAGGTGTGTACACAAATTGATACATTTTTCAATTACAATATATATTATGTACATAACATTTTACACAAGAATAAAAGTTGTTCCATTAATTTGTAATAATAATCATAGCAAGGCTGGGAATTAACAAGTTAAAAGTTAAAATTAAGTTAAAACATTACGTTAATTTTAATTAAGTTAATCAACTCGTTACTTTTTTTACAAATTAACTTTTAACTTAATAAGTTACTTTTTTTTAAGATTAACGTGTTAACTTTAAGTTAATTTTATTTAAAAGTATCTAAATTAAGTTAATTTTAGTGCAAAGAATAATAATGCAAATTACTAATCCGTCGCTGGTCGCGTGATTTTTTTTCTACATTTGGTCATTTGAAATAAACGTTCAGTCGCGCGGGGTAAATATTCTCCAAACAGAAAAGTTTTTCTTTACACGGGTGTGTACAACGAACCAAACTAGTTTTCAATAAAATAAATGTCATTATCGAATAATGGGTCATTTTAATGAGCTACTCAGAATTACAAATCCGTTTTGCAGATAATGAAGTGGATACACATATTTATTAATAGACTGGGAAATTATTTACCCCGCTTAACCAGTGAAAGGTTAAATGAGGTTTTTAGTATATTTATAATTTACTATTTTAATATGAATTTCCTCTAGACGAAAATAATACGAAAAATAACTTTAATAGTCATTATATAGGCTATATTTTATCATCATATTCTTATAACATTGTTATTGTATAAACACTATAAGCCCATGAAAATCCTAAGAATATTCTGTGATAATAGTAAATACCATGAGAACGAGTGTCGATGGGGGATTAATCACAAAACAACTGTGGTTTAATTTTCAATATTATTTCATTATTAAACTTTTTTTATAGCATGTGTTTTGTTCATATCACGTTAGAATTTATAATATATTGTTATTAGTTTATTATTTTATTAGCTTATTATACCATATGATGTAATATAATATAGTTTCGATTTTCTATGGTTTCTTCCATGCGCAAATTTATGCCGACTATTATGTATTCGGATTTTTAACAAAATCCAACATGATTTAAGCCGCAAAGAATATGAAACGTTTCGATTAGTATTTCGCAAATCCTTTCAATTTATTTAAAATATTTAGCAACTTTTTATTTTACTGTTCAGACATTTATGGTAGTGTAATAGCTTTGGGTTTATTCGAATGGATTATTGTTTCAAAAAACAAAACATGTATTTGTGATATCAAATCGTATTGGTAGGATTAATTTTTTATGTGATATAAATTATTTTATTGTTATTAATATTATAACATTATAATAAATATTATAACATAATATCTAATTGATAATTTTTTTGTACAGTTAAAAATCCCAATATAACTAATTATTTTACTTACTATGATAATGATACATAAAAATCGATTAAAATGGTTCCAGTGATTTTCATTTCTTTTATATCTGCAAACCATCATGCAATTCAAATATCTTGTGATTTCCTAAAAATAAATAATGTAACATTAATTATTACTTGTTTTTCGTTCAATATAGTATATTTTTTCCTTAATTTTCTATAAAAGATAAATTACAAATAAATGTCTAAAGACATTTACATATTTTTAGTCACATACTAGATACATAATAACTTTTTAGTCACATACTACATTTTAATCTCTACGCTTTCATACGGTTAATTATGAAGGAAAATTGGAATTTTAGCAATGATACACAATTACCTACCAGTAGTAATCGAATAATATAGGTACTAATGCACTTATGTAACAATCTAAAACATTATAATAATATACTTACATCATTATATTATCGAGTTTACTCGAGTTACAATTTTTATTTATTAGCTTGTTTTTGTGAAAAACGTACAGTATGCTTATATAAAATTATTCAAATATAAATAAATAAATGTTTAGCCTAAAGTATTATTATATATATATATATATGTATTTGTAAAAATATAACTACTATAACCTATTTACTTATAACATCAAATTTATTAATTTATTTCTATATATATAAACTATTTATTTATACATTGATTTACGAGTATTAACCATTTACTAATTTTTATTTTATTTTTTATTATTTTATTAAATATGATTCAGTTTTATTTTCGACAATCAATTCATACTTTTCCTGCATCTTGTATCATCTGACACCCTATGTTGTAAATAGACTTTAATTATATATTGTGAAATAATCTTCCTATAGTAATATTTTATATTTAAAGTTATAAATATTTCGATTTATCATTTACGAAAGATACTTGTTTGTTTACGACTTCAGCTACTTGAATTTCTGTATTATCTTATTTAGGATATTAATCCTTATCAAAGATATCGATTTTAAATAAAATGTAAATCCATTTAATAAAAAACTAGTTTTAATTGATGTATAGCTAATAAAGAGAGAGCAAATTTATTATACTACTGTAAATTAATTATTTAATATAAAAATGTATTTTATTATTTATATATAATAATTATTAAACCAATTAAATCACTATTTCTTACTTAACAGTTTGTTTGATGAATTTACTTCCGTGATGTTAATTTTTTAGTGATCCGTGGTTTTAATAAAATAATAGAAATTAGTTTTAGAGTTCAATTTTATTGTTCGAATACTTCAACTTGAATTCATATAGCCAATAACCACGTATGTTTGACTGTATTTATTTATAATTTAATTTAATGATATTATTTATGAAAAAAAAGAATAAATGTATATGCTTTGATGTTTTTTACTGATTTATTTTGAGTACGAATTACAAAATGTTAGTATTTTTGTATAAAAACAAAATAGTTTATCGGATAATTATTAGACGTGATCTAATTTTAGATGTTTTTGTTTATATTATTTTTTAGCATAAGGATTTTTATTTTAAAAATATACATTGTTTTATAGACGTTACTATTTTATTTGTTTGATTATTATGATCACACGGTTGTTGATATTAGATCTTTTGGTAAAATAAAATTAATTTAACTCATATGTCTATACATTTATGTAACCTATTTATTATTAAAATAGTATAAATGGTTTTTTTTTATGAATGGACGAACTGATAAGATATAGTTAGTGATCATTAAAGAATAATAGTATATACAAATTTATATCAATAACTATATTGTATATGAAAATAAAGTATAAAATATTCAGATTACAAGTATGTAAGCACGGGGGATTTGAAATGACCAAGATATCAATATTAAAGACATGATATAGTGGCCTTTTAATATGTACTATCGTATCTCGGTCATGAATACCAACCCACAGTTCATAATAAGAAGATTTTCCATCAATTAAATTCAAATTTCAAAATTTAATTTACTAGTAAAATATAACCGTTATATTGTATGCTTAACAACTCAATATTTTATACAGCTTCAAATATATTCATATTTAAACTTTTAATTAACTAGTTATTTATAATATAATTATTATTTTCATGTAGGTTCAGTTATAAATCATAATTAAACTGGAAGATATTAAATACGATAAAGTGATAAATAACTATTTAAAATATATACTTAATTAAATTATATACTTAAATTATTAAAAACTTAAAAATTCTAATACAAAATGTAACTACTTATATAAAATAATTATATGATATTTTAGGTAAATTGTCGTTTTGTCTTCAAAATAAAAATACTATAACTAAACAATATGTGTCTTTTACATTTTATATTTTTTCAGATTCTATATATATATATATATATATTAGATTTAAATTTTTAAATATTTAAATATTACAGTTAATTTACTGTATGCATAAAACATTTTTAAAATAATGAAGTGAAAAGAAAAATGTGCACGCTAATAAAATCAACAGTTTCACTTCAACCTACTATGGTATCTGTCAAATTCCATTTTAGAGAAGTGAATATCGTTTATTACATATGAAATGATTGATGTGATATTTTCGCTGTTTATTTTTCGTGATTTTGACATAGGCCCATTGTACTGGTATATAATGAAATGTACACAGAATAATAGATAATACTAGATTGTTTTATAGCGATTCTTTTATAATGGTAACAAAAATTGTTGATCATTATCAAAATATAAAACCTAATTTAGATTTATCAGAATACCTTGAGAAAAATATTTACGAAATTCCTATGATTAATAAAATAGGGCTTAAGGTAAATTTGAAGAAGAAATTAAAAAAAAAAAAGGAAAAAATAATGACCAAATTTAAGGGACTAAGATAAAGAATACCTATGCTCTTTTAAAATAGCTACATCAAAATTACTAGATTTCTTACTTTTCGCCATTACTGTTTTTGACGTTTAAACATTTCAAAATTTCTATTTTAGTTAATTATTTTTTTTTAACTTTTCGAATTCATCGCTGTCCGATCACTGTGTTCGATAACTGAATTCACTTGAACACCTCGTTATAAAATCTTGATTAAGAAGTACGTAACGGTCGACTTACGTAGCGGTGTGTACAGGTACGGGGTACGAAGGACCCGGACGACGGTTGGAGTCCGAGAGCGCAATAAGCCGCTGAGCTAACGTCACGAGCTACGCATGGTGGCCGGGGCTCGGCGACGGGACTCTATAGGGCTACGGTAGCAACCGGGGCAGGTAGACGAGCACGCGACGATGATTTTCCAAATATCTACGGTACATTGATGTGGCGACACGGTGCTGCGAATTTTGCGATACTCCGAACTAAACCTCGTGCGAAACGATCAAGACGATGTGTGCGACACGTTAACGGGCGTGCACAGTAATCCCGTCGAAAATTTTTCGGAAGACCGAACGCGAACGTGATGTGGTTGCGATTTTCTTCGACTGTTGTGTGCCCGCAGACCGACTAAATTCTATCCCGGACGGAAACGAACGAGTTTTTTTTTTATATTTTTTTTTCCTTTTTACCGATAATATATTTACATGTTATGAGACAGTATGACGTGTTCGTGTTCCTCGCACAATCGATAGAGAACGTCGATTCACGGGGACTGCCCCTCCCCATCTCTATTTTAAACTTAGTAAAACTAAATCGGTGACCTCTGAGGGCATGACGTTATCACGGTTGCATAATATTTACTAGAAATACTGATCTACTCCAAATATCTGCGGTACAAGCTATCGGCTATTTTTTCTCACAGAAAACCACGCGGACGTGTCATTATTGTCATTATTGAATAATAAATAAAAACCAAAAAAAACGATGTACTTCATTCAAGTGGGAATTGGATGTATGGTTTTATTAACGAAGAAAGGACGGTATTTGACAAACATCTTTAATGAGACTTCTTTATCGTATTTTAACCCCTTTGTATCGTTTGCTTAATTGCGTGATGACCAGTTTCCTTTCAGCATGACATCGATAAAAAAAGAAAAATTGTAAAATAGTAGGAAATTGTTTCAGTGTCATCATCGATTTAAAGAAATGGCAACAATGAGTTCATAAGAGTAGTAAAATATGCATGGTTATCCGGTCACAGCGTATGATTGTTACTTGTCCTAGTAGGTTTTTAGATATTTTGCCAAATGTTTTTGTTTATTAAACATAGAACCTGTAGTGAAAAGAGTGGAACTAAAAAATATATCCTGTCTTAAGTGTATTGTATTAATATATAAATATATTTTTTTTTATTCTATTGAATAATTAAATACTCATAAATGTAAGTCTATAGAACAGTTACGTTAAATTCAACAAAATCATAATAATAATTGTTTACAATATTGGTAACCATTTCTTTGATTTAACCTATACCTACCTAGTATTATTGAATTCACATATAGTTTTCGAATTCATAAAAATATAAAATTAATAGATATGATAAAGTTATAATTATAATAGTTTTTTTTTTATTAAATATACTTTAACAAAAAATAATTACAATTTGCAAATAAATATAATATAAAAATCATAAATATTTTACTATTATTCATACTTACACGATACTTGATGAATATTTGTTAGTGACCTGAAGCAAATCGTTCATATATGAAAAAATTACAATCTAAGGATTAAAATCGCAACACACGTTACAACAGTCAAACATAAAATAATGCTCTTGAATCATGACCTGATATCAAAATAATTAATTCAAACGACACTATTGTATGCTGATATTTTCAGATAAGATAAATTAAATTCAAGATGACCGCAATCGGTTCATATATTATAATGATTAATAATGATTAAGTAGTTAATTTTTCTTACATAAAAATGTATGTATATAATCAATAATCATTGATTATAATTATAAAAGGAGATTATTTTTTTTTAAATTAACACATAAATATTTTTGGTAATGATAAAAAAAAACCCCGTATTCTGAAAAGGTAGAAAGACACCATAGATTAAAGAGTCAACTCAGATTTAAGCCAGAACAAGACGGATGCAAAATGTACTGCAAAGAGTGTATAAAATACATGTAAATACGTCCCGTAGAATTTGTCGACCAAACATAAAATATTTCCTCGGTTTATAAAATTATCATCAGTTAATTCCAAAATTAATTATTAAAATTTTAAAAATTTTAACTTCCATATAATATATTAGTTTTATTAGATGTTAGGAATAATTAATTTTTCAAATATAATAATTATTAATATACCGGTTTTTATTTATTTTATTTATTCAACCCAAAGATTGATTTTTAACAAATCAATTTACTACTGTTGTCTTCAACATTTTTCTCTGTCATTCACCTTATCTTTAAGTTCCGTGTAGTAAGTGATTTCTGTACATTTTATTATTTTGCTGATGTTCTTGTTCTAGATCTTCATTTTGTTCGTGTTTCTTCTATCATTCCTTCAATTATTATAGTATGCATTTCATCTCCATGTTTCAATGTATCTATCATCTACCATCTCCTTCTAAACAATCTCTCTCTTAATCTCTCTTAAGGATGTTTATCAATGATCGGTATTCTATGCATATTTCTCTAACACCACATTTCTAAAGCTTCTAACATAGCTTTCTTTTTCTTTTGTATTGTCTATGTCTCGCTTCCATGTAATGTCATACTTCAAGAATATGATTTTATTAGTCTTTTTTTCGGTGGTTATGTTAGTTTACTGTTAGTAATTTGTTTTATGAATATAGCGTTTGCTTGTCTTATTCTGTATCTGATTTATTTTTTTATATATTTTCTTTATTTTCCATTTATATACTTTTAATTATACAATATAAAATTAGTTAATAATTATATGATTAAGTAAGAAATAATATACTTTATTTATATATAGTTAAAAATTTTAATTTTTTATTTAAATAATGATAAGCAGCACACAAAAATGGTCTACGCGGGATGTACTGCTCTCGTTTGAACTAGGCTTAATGCGGTCATATTCTCTGCATTCTTATATATATTTAGCAAATAACATAGATAAACACAAAACGCGTTAATGAAATAATGAATGAACGCTTTTAATATTTCATTACATTTTATTAATCGTATTCATAAAATAAAAATATATGCAAATTTACGAATAATAAATTAATGTATATACTTACTCGTAATTACATTTATCATTAATCATAATGATTCATCAATCATGACATAATTCGATTTAAAAACCACAGTTAATAATTTATTTCTAAATACTTATTTTTATGTTATTTACTTTTAGCACATTTGAATTAGTTTTCTGTTTTAAATCAAATATCTATATTAATTTATAACTTTGTAATGATAATAATTGTATCTATTGTCTTACATATAAAAAATAATTCTCAAATTTGATTAATTTAGTTCGTTCAATGATTTTATATTTTTCATTTATACAATCAACAGTACCAAATTTAAGGCTACGAGACCAATATTAGTTAAAAATTCTTATGAATAAAGATAGCTTTTTAGAACAAATCAATTGCTTCATAATTTAAAGACTATAAAACGTTTTCCTTAAAAATGATTAACTATAATGTGTGGAACGTTATAATTTTTTTCTCTTGACTCATCAAAAAATATTGAATAATTTATAAATAAAATATAATAAGGTACTTAAAAAATTATGTCAAGAATATTATTTATTAATTGTTTTTAACCAAGAATTTTGTTAAAACAAAATGATGTAAGTATATATTTATTTCTAACACACAAATACTCGCATAAATAGGACAAAACTTCTATGTCAGGTGAGATACATAATCTAGTGAATGATATTGCTTTATGGGTCTTTTAAACTTGATAAAAATGTACCTAAATAAAACGATTCGGAGTGAAAGAGGTCGTTTAGTTAGTACTTCAAAATATGGTTGATAAAGTAGTTAAATCAAATTTCTTAATAAGTTAAATTAAACTTATGTTCTAACTTTTACAAAAAAAGTGGCATTCAAAATCTAAAATCTGATGAAAATTCTTTTATCCTATTTTTAAACACGAAATATTAAAATTGAAAGTATATTAAATTTTAATTCTAAAAATGTTGCGAATTTTCGTGATTTATTTTTTATTTTTGTCGAATTTCATCAAAATTTTATACTCAAATGCTCAAATGTATACCATTTTAAATAAATAAATAACAGTTCCTTCAATACCCGCACGGACAATATAAATCGAACAATAAAGACTAATCTTCAAAGAACCACCCAAGATCCATGCCGACATACGTCCCAGAGACACATACTACCCTTCCCAGAGCTCTTGATTTTAGGTCGTCAGTGCGTGCACCGATCATAAGATTAACGAGAGAGTTATTTTGACTTGTGGTTTTAATCCGTTCGACTTGTGTTCTTCGTACGAGTGTTGAAGAGTATCCGGCTCCAGTGCAATTAAATTCTGCATTTGTCCTTTTTTTCAACCTTGCATCGATATCTGAAGGTTTACGGTAAAACAAGTAAGTATTGCCTTATTTAGCTTAGCAGACTATAATTGCGCTGATCGGCTCTTGAACCTTCACAACCCTGAGACCCCTTCCTTAAATAAGGAGGAAAGTAAAAACCCTTTAATATATTCATATTTCATCACCATTTACATATATGCCACCTCCCTCCCCTTTATATTTTATCTTTGTATTTTTGGGCTGATATATTATCATTGAAAATTAATATCAGAGTACAAGTTATAGTTATAATACGAGTATATTAGTAATGGGAAAGGGTTGATGCGCCGGCAACCATGGGACCGACATAAAAATGTTTTATTATTTATATTCTTATATCTGTGCTTATCCAATTCACAACAGAAGCTTATAGCCCGACAAATAAAAAAAAATATTATTAACACAAAATTAATGGTTGGTGAAATTTTAAAAAGTATAGATTATAGCATAAAATTATAAATTATTCAGCACGTCGACTGTCGGCAAAGTAGTCGGTCTGCTCAATGGTTGTCGCCCAATGTTTTGTCCCAAAAATCAATATCAATCTAGTTCATATTTAATAATTGTTACGCGTATATATTTCGTTACAATACAATACATAGGATACATAATACTCTGTAATTATAATACAGTAATCATAATATGAATCAGTCCCGAGATTTTATTATAATATTACACATATAAATATTATTATTAATACATATATCTAAAATAAATATTAATATAATCACGTACTTTTATTATTTTAGAATATTAATAAATATAGTATATTTTACTTTTTTCAGTCAGTTCTATAGAGTTAGCCGAGTTCATTGATCTTATTATAAATAACAGTACATATATGAAAATGACTACTCCACCTAAAATTATAATACCTTGCAATAATTCAGTCATAGTTAATAAAATAAATCTACCGGGGTTGAACTTTAGTTTCAATATTTGTTCTTTATAATAGCCCACGTTAACAACAATTGTTTGTACATCGATAGCCTCTGGTATCCAACACTCGATGTTCTCCTGAACCAAATTGCATACCATCAGACTCTCAGACCAACCTTGAATACGTACCGCCAAATCTTTTTTCCGATAACCTTTGTTCAAAAACTCGCCGTGTATTAGGAGAGAATTTTCATTTACTTCGAAATTCGTGAAAACCGGGTTAGGAAAGACCGTATAACTAGTATTCGTCGAAGTCAAGTTCACGATTTTTTCATCAGTAATTCCTAGAAAACCGTGCTTCAGTTCCATCGACGTAAACGATTCGGGGATGTCGATATAGGGAGTTTTGCAAATCAAGACCCTATTGTCTTTATATCTACAAAAACTAACGTTTAATTTTCCATCGTACGCCACGTACATTGCCCAGGTTTTTAAACATGAAAAATTACCATGTACCATCAATTGCACACCTCCAGACGCAATACTCTCGAATCGTTGCTCCTCGTCGATAGTCGGATTGGCCATGTACTTGAAGGACAGATTAGAATTAGTTGCATCGAGTATTCGACCATTGAAAAACAGTTGCACGTTGGCGATCATAAGGACATCGCTAGAGCCGACCACGCAAGAAAGTTGTTCACTATTCAACTTGACCACAGTGCATGTAATGTTTTCATCGATAAGTACTTGAACGTCGTTGGTCACGTTTAAGTACTTTCCTTTGATGTCCAACAGGACCCCGCCTACCATTGGTCCACAGTTCTGACTTGAAGAGGCATCGACAAGCGGAGTGACGAAACTAAATATTTTTGTTGACTTGAGATGATAATTCTGCGAGGCAGACGAGTACGTGATCTCAACTGGACCCTTTTCCTTATAAATGGGTCCGTCGATTGCAGGTATGATACAACTTATTGTTTCATCGTGTCTTGACGTACTCTGGTCCATAATGCACGGCCGTCCAGCCACGGTAATTTTCATCGACCTATCTTCGGATAAATACAAATTATTTTTAACAACTATGTTGATCGTCACCGGGCCAGTAGACAACCCAACTAGCGGATCGAAAGATACAATCTTAAAGTTGGGACTTTGAATCGCAATCGAAGACAGGTGCTTATCATGGGCTGTGTTTTTCTGTAATTTTCGCACATGACACGGCCACATATGGTTATTCTCGGTCAATGTACAATTTTGTTTTTTTAAACACCATTTGCAGTAGTACGCGTACGATTCCGTTTCCCAATAACCGGTTGCACAAGTTATGTTGTGACAATCTCGATCAAAAGAGGTGATATAATGGTCTTCGGGGTTGTTAAATTTCAGGGAGGTATTGTTGTTAACGACAAGTGACCAATATTTGATCGGCCATCTATAATTTTGGTATAGTTTTCGATCATGAATACAGACAAACTCAGTGTGGTTAGATGATACGTGTGTTATGTTTAGGTGTTTGTCTTCTAGTTGGCAATGTATTGTGTTTGATTTTTTTATAAAATTGTCAAAACTTTTCACCTTATCCAAAATAGAAACTTTTATTGAGTCGTAGATTAATGACACTTTAAAACGTGGACATGATACTACTACGCTTGTATTAGCTGCTGGATTTGACTTGACGCATACTTGTTTTTCAACTGACCAGTTGCAAGCAGGTTCATTGGTTTTGCACTGCGCACAAGTTCTATAAGTATTGCAATTCGGTTCAAAATCTATTATATTTTCCATTAAATTGTTATGATGTGCAGTTGCAATGCTCGCGAGCGACTAGAATAAATATAATAATATTAAAATCAATTAAATATATTAATAAGAATTTACTCTTTATGTTTTTTAGTACAAGCAATTCTTAGAAATTCATATCAATACAATTTAAGTTCATTTAACGTTATGTATATGAATAGTTTTTAAGATCACGATAAAGATCACTTAAATTAGTAATTTATGTGCAGTACAAATAATAACGAGAAAAATGAAGTTGCTCAGTGTTAGTTCTATATTAAAATACATTTAAGACAATTTTATTTGATTATTGTAGTCTGAAAGTTAAAATAAGAAAATAAATAATTTTTGGTTTGTTTCATTACATACAGTTAAGATATAAAAAATAAATACATACATGCATATATATATATATATGTATACATACAAAGTAAATAATTACTAATTAAAATACTATAAATATAACATACTATTATGACTGAAAATACGAGTAGATGAATTGAGAACTGATTCAAATGATTTTCATGTTTCGTAAAACTTCTGGAGACAAACATATTAATAAAAGCCTTGTATGTTTTGCTAAAAATAAAATAATGTGTTTTTTATATTAACTGTACATATATTTACATTATAATATAAATTAATATAGAACATATTTAAATTTAAATTCAATTACATTTAAGACAAAATTAATTGTGTAAGTATTCAATCGTATATGTATGTACTATAAATTAAAAATTTGATTTTCTCATTTGGATTTTCAAAAGTTGTGGCACGCAAACAGTGGTGTAGTTTTGAACAAACACGTCAAAACCCATTTTTAAAACGTATTCCAAAATAAGTCACTGAATAACGTTTTGGGAATATGCACTTAAAAGGATTGCATTTTTAAATACGAATACTTAATCATTAATATAAAACGACTACGATGAAGATCAGACGACCATAGATTTGATTCGTGGTTGTGGTTTATTCTTAGTTCTACGACTACATCCACGTTTATTTGAACAATTATTGTCGTGAAAAATTATTAGAACAATATTTTACCTAAGTTCGATGACGGTTCAGCAGCGATAATTTTTGATTCATTCCAATTTCATTCCAACGCCGAAGCGATGTAAACTGATCACAACCGCTGTAATATGATTAGGTGAACGAATTATAAGTCTAATCAAAAGTGTATGGCTGATAATATGGTAATTATTGTCACCGTTTCTACGTTGGACACTGTAGTATAATATCAAGTGTAATTTTTAAGTGTTCCCCACTCGGTCAGGATCAGGGTTGCATGATGTATAATTGATCGATACGTGATTTTCTCATCGATAATCATAGTTCATAAGCATAAAAATATAATACAGGCCACGTTGTTGTTGTTGTGCATAACACGTGGCATACATGCAGGTATCGTATTATAATGACCATATCAATTATGTTGAAAATTTTCCCAGTGACTAAAATTTGCAATTTAAATTCTTTTTTTTTTTTTATTTTTAGTCGTTAACCACATCGCTACATTTATTTTTTTAACGATTTTTTTTTTTTTAATTTTTAAAATGTAATTATTACATTTTATTTGCTGTTTTTAATTTATATAAGGTATTCGTCGATTCCAATGATCTATAGTGATGCATAGAAACTATTGGTATAATAATTTAAATTATTTATAGATCATAATGTGTGATGGTAATAATATATAATTGAAACTAAAATTATGATGCTTAATAATACATTTTAATAAGAAGCAAATTATTGCGCCTTCGATAGGAACATGTCTAATTTATGTGAGCGTTATTAAAAAATATATTATACTTTTAAGAACATGTTTTAGACTGAGTGAAGCAAAGGATCAATGGTTTTAAAATTATTTATATATTTTTTAATTTTTAAATTTTTTTTTTTACTTTTTTCTGTAAACACTTTTTTGGATATAAATATTAGTCAAAAAGTTTCAACTTGAAATTTTTTAGATTTGAAATAGGCCTGCGGTGGTATTTTAAAGGTAATTTTCCCAAAATCTCAATATTTTTTCCAGGCATGAGGAAAAACTATTAAAAATGCACTGTAAACAAGACTTTCACTTTTTATTATTTAGTTATTTATTAATAAGTCCAAAAGTATTGTGATTAGAAATTAAAAATTCTTACCATATATAAAAGACATTTTTTTCATATTTGGCATTTCCAAATAGTTAAACACTTTTAGCTTAACTTTTAATATACCTCATTTTTGAAAGTTTTTTTGTAATAAAATTTTTATTTTTGGATATTATAACCTGAAAATTTGATATCACCTTACATAAAATAGTCACCTAACGATAATAAAAAAATATTAAAAATCATAAGCCAAGATTTAATTTAATAAGGGTTAAACTAAATTAATATACGATTTTTACGGAATTTACTGTTTTTACATACATTTTCAACTTGAAATTTCTTTTAAAAGAAATTGGTCCATTCAATCAAAATACAACTTAAGTATAAATAGAACAACACGTATTGAATATTTGGTTAAAAAGATGTCTTCTTCATAAAACAATAACATTTTAAACGGGTTAAAAAAAGAACCTACCGACAATTAGACTAAAAATGGCAAAATATATAAACGATATAGTTTTATACTAATTTACTATTTTATACTAATTTACTCGCAATCGTTTTATAAAAAAAATGAGTTATCATAACCTTAAAAAAATTATTATTATAACTTATTATCTACTCAACTCAATACACCCACAACCATTATCTAATCCGAGGACCGAAGGGATAGTATGAACTTCTATGAAAATTATTTTACCGGCTTTTTCAATAACGTTTTGTTAAATTATTCGAAATCACACCATTTATAAAATAATTTTTATATTTATTATTTTAACTGGATCCGTGCTTTTATAAAGATTTATTAATATTAAATAAAATGGACGATAAAATTGAATTTCTTCATCTTACCATTTTGAAATAGTAAATTACTACGCAACATAATGCATTATTTTACCAATTATGCATAATATTATATATAATTAATACTGTATTGATTGTACATTTATAAATATTAGTATTTATAAACAATGACAATGCACATAAAAAAGTATGGTACTGTACTCATGTTTGAAATATTTTTAATTTTTCGACTGTTAAATTTGTTTTTATTATAATAATTCTCAATAATATTGTTTATTATTATATTTAAAACACAAAATATTCAATATTTTGATATTCTTTTATCCGTTAAGCTCGTCGTTGTGAACCTGCAGCTCTTTGGCTTGTAATCTGTGTAATTTATGTATAACAAAAAAAAAAAGGTGTTTAAACATAAGCTCTTCAGTGGCTCTTTGAACATCATAGTTTAGTATTTTTTTTTTTATAAAATGGCTCTTTCCTAAAAAAATGAAAGTTGCCAACCCCTCCGTTAAACAACACTTTAAGATAAGTTAAAGATTACAGCAGCTCGAAGTTAATATTTATGTTACTTAGTAGTAAAATATTATAAACGTTATTAATAAAAAAATATAGAACAATTAAAATAATTACAACCACAATTAAATAATTAAAATAATTAATAATTAATTTAATTAATTAAGAATGATAAAATAAATACCGTGCTTACAATTAACATTTCAAAAGAGCTTGCGAATCTTATGTATTAGAACTCAAATAGAATATTTCAGATTTATAATTAATTATACAATGTGTTTCGGAAATGGATAAGTTCACTAGTGTATATGAAATCACTGTGATGGACATAAGATAATTTTTTTTTTTTTTTTTAATGTTTATTTTTCATTCACTACAATTTTCAAATAATTTGAATAAACCAAAATTTAAAAGATAGAAAAATAATTTCAAAAAATTCTTCATTGGGCCATCACATGGAGTACACATACTCTACTGACCTCATTTATTTCAAAAACACTTTGTATATTATTTTATGTATTGATTGATTGCAATATAAACATATATATATATATTACATGTGTTACATATTTACATTGTATCTTAGAAAATAACAAACATAGTAATATTTTTCAGTTATTATTATATTTTCATGATAAATTGAAATTCAATGTATTGCAGTTCTACATAAACACAATCACTATGAATCTGATCAGAAAAATATTTCCGTCTTTAATAGGTTGGTACACTTTATTTTATATATTATTATAGATTTGAATCACTGAACAAAGTGAAAATTAGATTGGTTTTTTTTACGAACCATTTTACGCAACATTAAATCGGAACGTAAGCTATTTCAATTGCTGCTGCCAATTTTTTGACTTCTCTCAGTGTTCTAGTTTTTAAATTTAGTTATTTTTTGATATTTCTGTGGATAAAATACCTATTGAATACCTATAATTGAAAGTCGGTAGATCGCATAATTTAATTATACTGTGCATCCGAGTAGAATATCTTTATTATGTTGGCAATGTACTACAGGAGTATTTACATACTTTGTGCGCTGTGTTTCCAGCGACAATGGGAGCAGTTACCGTCGGCCTGTTACCTGCTGAAATGTGGTTGTCGCCGGGTGGCGAAAAGCTGCCCGAAAAGTCGACGACAACGTTCACATTGCCGTTTACGGGAATCGAAGTCACCTTGCACCTCCAGGACTTCTTCGGCCTCGGAGTTGTTTACGGGGCTTTAATCGCCGGCGTATCATTGCAACTGATCGGCCGACGCTCCAGCATGGCGCTTTACGATGTACTTCTTACGTACACTTTGGCGATTCACGTTTGGCCCGGTCAAGCGTCGCGGCTGGCGATGTGGAACAGAATGTTTATGGGCATTGCCGTGGGCGCCTTGAGTGCGATTATACCGATCTACGTCTGCGAGATGTCGCACCATAAACTGAAAAGTATGTAACGCAGTTTCAGGAGGATTTATCGTATCACGTTCAAATGACGAACAAACTATGCACACGACGACCCTTTCCCTGTATGTAACGTAGTGGTGTGTTTTACGGGCCGAAGGGGATGGGAAAAGGTTCTTTTTTCAACACGAGACGAATATATCAATCGTCGCGGAATCCTACAGTGACTTTTTTGTCTAATAACCTTAAGACAAGAGCAGTCGTCGCTTATCCGATTAGCTTTGGGATCAGACCCGAATTCGAGTCCATTAACTTAACGGGTCATCAAGACGAAAGACCCGAGAAAAAGAATTCATTGTTTTCAGATTTTCGTTTAAAAAAAAAAAAGTTTTTATGCTCGTATGATAAATCTGCGTGTACGTGTACGTATCATGATAACATGACGTTCGGGTTAAAATGGAAACGATGAAACAATAGGTCGAATGGAAAAATACGAAAATTAGTGTTCACCGCCGACGAAGAGAGTAATTTTTCTTCGCTGAGCATTTGACGCGCGAACGGGCGCTAAAACGACGTGGCCGTAACACCTGATTAGTCGTTGTCACGAATCCATCTCGATGTTAACCGACTGTTGACGAAACGACCGCGGGTTGACCGGTGTACCGGTACTACAGTGGACGAATTTTTTCTCCACCGTCGGTGCGGTGCACTCGCGAATCAGTCCGTTTCGAGTCCAGAGCGCAGGCGAACGAGTAAGCGCGAGTGCACCGAGCGGCGACCATGGGCACAACATAGAGCTCGAACACCGGGGGAGGGATGTGCTGGAATCGCTACGAATAAAATCGATAGCGTTTCACTGTACCTGATGATTATGGATCGGAAAAAAACAAACCCCCATGGGTGCTAAACTGGAACTCGTATGTGCTAAAGGCCCTCTTTCGCTCCCCCCCTCCTCGCCGTAGTCGCGCCTACGACCGCGTGATCGTGGTTTATTTTCTATTCCACGGTTTATTCGTTCATCGTGGTACGGTAGTTATGTTATGTTACGTTATGGTACGTTATGGTGTTATGTTATGTTATGGTACGGCGCAATTCTCGCGCCGGTGTGCCGCGCGCTGAACGGATACACGGTTTTCGCAGATAAGCTGATGCTGTTGTTGCCGGTGTTCGTCGCGGTCGGCGCGTCGTGCGGGCGAGCGATCGGGTCGGCGGAATACGAAGCGCCGTTACGGTCCCACGTGTTCGGCAACGTCGCGCAGTACGTGCCGTTGTTCGCGTGCTTCTGCGGCTGCTGGGCCACGGCGCACGCGTTCGCCTCGTGCCTGATACCGGAGTCGCCGCACTACCTGTTGGGCGGCACTTGCTGGGACGACCCGGACGACGGCCGCGTGTCCTACACCATGCTGAGACGAGAGCGATTCGACGGCGGCCCTACGAAACGGTCGTCGGTGTCCGAACAGGTGTTCAAAAACAATATTTTTTATCGCGCGAGCGCGCGCGTAATAACCCGCGGGGGAAAGACTGGGCGCACTGGACAGTGCGGATACTGCGGGTGGCGGTTTCGTCGACTGTTTCGATTTCCGCTGCGGGTCTAAGAGAATAAGGTCGGCCTGTTAGAGAATAAAGTTAACCCCCGGGCTCGGAGATGTCGAAACGCCTTCGGTCGCGAACAGAAGATGTCGACACGTACGACGACCGTTGCCACCAAAAGTTTACCGGTCCCGTTTTCACGTGGTACCGAATCCACTTACGATTCGGTTTCCGCTACACTGTTCCGATAAACCGTCCGTTCCCGAATCATTACTCGTCGACGGTTGCGTTTTCGATCGATTGGCCGTCGCGCTCGTCTCCGCGTACGATCGCACGTTGTTTTTGAAATTCGTTGTCATTCGCGCCGTAGTAGGTCCAACAGTTGGTTGATCGATGATCGACAGTTGAAAACTGTCGTTATATATTTATGTTATTATATTTACCAGCGGTATCTTACAACAGGACTTACGGTGTGTCCTAGGTGAACGCGATTTTACGAGCGGACGTGCGGGTGGGCGACGCGATAAAATTCAAAATAGATTTTATACTTGGAATGTCCTATTTAGATGATGAACAGGCGGGCGGGCGATAACAATATTATCAAATATTTTTGTTTCAGACGCGGGTGACTAGCGTTATTTTCTGGACACGTAGCGCACGCCTATAAATCGCTCACTCGCGTCAACTGCCCGCCCGCTCGCAAAATCGGGTTCACCTAGGACACACCGACTAATGGCCCATAAATTATGGATTTATGTCTCGTTAGTGGTATAGAAATTGATTTGCGGGAAACTTACTTGGGTTGGCGGTAAAGGAAAAGTCATGGTTTTAACGGAAACGTTTTATGCTCACGATAACAATACTACATAATATATTATATAGTTGTGTTACGGTTTGTGTAAATTAACAGCAGATACGACTTCCGTGGAACCCGTTCTGCGCACCAGGAATTCTTTCCGACGGCAAAAATCGCAAAGCTCTGTTGACTGGCATCGGGTACATGTTCGTCAATCAAGTCTGCGGCATTAACATTTCGGTACCTTTCATGAGCCGTGTACTCGAGATGACGGGTAGTTGTGTACGTTTACAGACGCTACGGTCGTCACTGTCAATCGATGTTATTCAGGTATTCCGTTTAATTTTTATTTTTTCCGAACATTTTTAATCTTACGGTTAACAGCCGTGAAGACGATTTCAATATATTTTCCATCTCCTACTCCTGATCCCTATACAAATAAAAGACTTATCGTCTCAATCAAATTCATTAAACTGTTTTTCGATTATTAATAATAAACGTTACCTACTAATTTTTAAAATTTATTCATTTAATCAAAATTTGAAACGAGTTCAATTCGAAAAATTTTTTAAATAAAACATTTTTGCTCGTTATTAATGTCTTAATCTAATCTCACTGCTCGTAATTGATACAATTTTTTTATTTTATTTATTTTTCTTTTTGTTTTGCTACTGTCACATAAGTACTACATTACTTTTTATTGTTTAATATTATGCAATGTTTACACATTTGTTCAATTAAAATTTTATTTTATTTTATAGGTCATTATGGCGATTATTGCGATGACCATCATTGATAAAGTGGGTCGCAAATTGTTATTAATATTTTCGGTAATGCTGATGAGCGTTAGTTCCGGTGGTTTGGTTGTTTGTTTCGTTTTAATGAAACTGAAAATCGACATTCCTGATTCCCTCGATTGGTTACCCTTGTGTTTGATCGGCATTTACATTTGTGCTTATTCAATAGGATTAAGCCCTATGGCTTGGGTTGTAACGAGCGAGATATTCTCGATTCAAGTATGTATATGCGACGACTGATGTAAAATACTATTTAGGTAGTATTTACATAATAATGTTCCATTGATGCGTTCACGTGTATATTTTAATCGATCGCTCTAAAAACAATAATTATATTACTACAACGAATCTGTATGTACTTTGTTAAGGTCAGACCATACGGGATGAGTATAACCACTGCTGCCCACTGGATGTCGGTGTATTTCATCTTGTACGTACGAGATGGTGTTTTCAATGCTGTAAAAGTCGACAATTTCTTAATTTCTATTTATGCGTTGGGCTTATTATTAGCTCTATTTTTTGAATTCTTTACGCCGAAAATGCATGTTGGAAGTCTAAAGATATGATTCATACGGATACCAGATTACGGGGTTTAAAAATGACTATTGATCCTTGAATGTTTTGTATATTATTGTATTATAATTGTGTTAAAACTTTTTTTTTAATTACATAAATGTTAAACAATCAAAAGTATTTTTTTTTTTTTTTTTATTGTAATCGCGTTGGAATAATACGTGATTTGTTAAAATGTGAACGTACGAGTATGATATTGATTTATTATTCTTCGGCAAGTTATGAAACTTGTATTATTTTTCATATAAAAATTAACCCGCTTCCACAAAAAACACTTTTCCGTAGCAAATACGGCATGTCTAGACAAAGGAAATTATTGTTGTTCTTTTTTACTCGAAACTATTGTTTCGTCAGCTATAAACGTAATGACGTATATGATATAATCGTTTTGATTATTAAACAACTTAAGAGTTGTCTCTTAATAATTGCGAACGATAACTCAGATAAAAATGATTTATACTTGCTTGTTTTATATAGTAAATATTTTTTATAAGATTATTCTAATCGTTTAATTTATTTTTATTTTTTAACAGTTAAATTAATATTAATAGTTTCTTATCCATATATTTAGTCATATAGAAATGTTTATAGATTTTCTACGGTCATCAAATAAGTGCTAAACGATTGAATAGCAACTAAAAATAAAATGGATTAATATAAATGAATAGCATTATTTTCCAAAGTATGTCAACCACATTAAAAAAAAAAAAAAACTTAAAAAACTAGAGTCAACGCATTTATTTAAGTGCTATCTATGTATTTTATAGTGATGAAAGTCTGACATTTAATAAAATTAATGCAATTAATGATAAACCCACGAATCTGAATAGAATAATTTTACTATTATTCTATTAATACCACGACCAATATAACAACGAACACAATGTGTCATCACAAAAAAAAAAAAGTTGGTGGGTCTAATTCTGAAATTATTTAAATAATTATTAATTATTCATATTGTATAACCGTATACATAAGGCATACGCAGCGCGACTCCAAACAATTAGGAAATTATTTGTTGAAAGCAACGTAATATTGGACGTCCGTCCAATAATTACCTAAAGTGAACTACAAAATCATTTATCGTATATTTAAATACAGGAAGTCGGGGTTAAAACTCGGTACCAAATATTTCCTAAAGACCGTGTTATCTCTCAAGTGGTATAGTCGTACGCGGGACTGGATTTATACCCGGCGAGATGACGCGCTAACCAAACATTTGAGGGACAAGCAATTCTTCGGGTATTAATATAGTTTTTTATAAATATATAATCGAGATGAAAATTCGTAATGGTTATTTTCACACGTCGTATGGAACACAACAAACTCATCGGTTGTGTTTTGGCCACATAAAAGCGTCGAAAATATAGGGTAAACAACAACAAATTCATTGCAATGAAACTCAAAAAATAAATGAAAAACAATGTTGCACCAGGCGATGGTGCATGTGCGTTTTGATTTTTACTTATACCAATTCCATAGTACGAATTCGAGATAAAATGCTTTTCTCTGGAGTATAAAAAGGTACTACCATTGATTATAGAATTGATCTATTATATAATCAATGGTACTACTGTTCAATCTATTTTGCTACTCGAGCCGTGCGATTTTCGTTTATGTAACATTATTGACGCATACGACTATTACGATACGTATTCATCATAAATACGGCGCATCGACGTTTCGATTCAATGGCACTACTTTATTATTGCAAGCTGTAAAAATAACATTCGTAATTTACAATTTCAAAAAATAAAATACTTTATTACAGCTACTATTATAAGCACATAATGTGATGGAGTAACATAATGGTATATTTAAGATATTGTGTACGTAATAATTTATAATTTATGAAAATTTATTTTATAAAAATATTAGGACAATATACGAGTAAAATACGAGGGGATAGAAAAATAAAAATAATAGGGTTTCGGGTTTATTCGAAAACATATTTATCCGATATCATATGACATACATAATATAGTATATATATATATATGCATATGGATTTTTTAAATATTAAACAAAGACTTATTGTGACCCACCGGTTGAAGACCACTAGTCTAGGTCTTAGTTTTGAGAATAATTTTTCCCTATTTCTAATTGAAGTTGTAATTCCATATTTTATCCATTTTTTGGTTTTAACATTATTTTTTTTTTTTTTTTTGGATTATACTTCCAATTAGATATAAATGAATAGTTAATAAGTTCTTTTAATTAAGAATTAAAAAACGTTAACCATAGTATAGACGTCCTCAAAGTCTAAACATTGATACCAGTTTTCTGTTTTAATTAATAGATCTAAATGATTAATATTAATCTTATTTATTTTAGTATTATTTAAAGGCGTTTACATTTTAATATTTATATTCGATGGAGTCCTAATTGTTGCATAATGATCGTTAATATCACATCTTGATATATTAGAATTTACTTAATTTGGATCAAACTTTTTAATAAATATATAATCAATGCAAGTTTTAGACTGTTTTATAATTCTGGTAAAATTATTAATACATGGTAAATATTCATTATGAGCCAAAATATTTAGATAGGTATGGCTCATAATTGAATTTTTCATTATATCTATATTAATATTACCGTCAATAATGATTACATTTAAACATTTTTTTTTTTTTTTTGAGACAAGAATTGGTCTCAAACTTTTATAAATAAATCTAGGTTCTAATCTGATGATCTATATATATATAAACTAGCAAAACGTCAAATAATTTATATTAGTTTTAATACTAATAAAATTACAGTTTAATAATATCTGTTTTTCAATATGTAAAATATTTAGATATTCTCTAATCAAGATTGTAAGATTACCATCACAATCATTAAATATACCTAAAGAGTTAGTAGTTTTGGTAAACGGTCACTTTGTACGGTAGGGTAAAAAAGAACATTTCAAAACGCGGACACTTTGTACGGTAGGGTACTACCGTACAGAGTGTCCGCGTTCTGAAACGTAATTTTTTATCCAGCCGTACAAAGAGTCCGCGTTTCGCATTTTTAATGTTCAACCGTACAAAGTAACCTAGAACCTATAGTTTTATATCCATTTAATTTAAATTATAAACTACAACTATTGGGTATATTATAACTAAATATTATGACAAATATTTTATTGACATTATTAATTGTTTGATAAAATAAAAAATGATATACTAAAAGTCTTAGAATTCTCATAAGTAATTCTATTATATAGTTATATTATATAATTCTAATACTATTCTATTTAAATAAAAATGAAAAAATTATGAATCACAAATTGTTCTAAATTGTTTTATATTATCTGTACAAATAACCAGAATGATCGAGTAAAATAAAAAATTAAAACTATTAATGAGTGCCAAAAATTTAAGTATAAAAATCTAATAAAAATGATGGCAGATAATATGACACTACAAATTAAGTTAAAATATTCATAAGTCAGGATGGCCGAGCGGTCTAAGGCGCCAGACTCAAGGTGAACCTTGGTCTACTATGTAGACTGATCAAAAGAGCTTTCTGGTCCTCATCTGAGGGCGTGGGTTCGAATCCCACTTCTGACAAACTTATTGCGATTTTTATTCAGTAAATAATATTAATAAATAATAATAATAATCATACTTTATTGACGCATTACGAAAATGATTGTAAAAAAATGTTGGTTATTAATACATACACATTATTGGTTTAATTTTTTTATAAGTTTTATTTGTCAATATACAAATAATATAGGTCAACACTCTTATCTGTTATTTGTATAATAAAATTACTAATTTTACTCCAATGATTTCAAAACTTTTTAATTTGAGTATGTAAGTATCAAACGTTCAATTACGTATGTATTATCAGTGACACATTTTTAACAACATACGTACGTGAAATACAATGCTATAACGTATGAAATCACAATTATCCAAAAAAAAGACTCAGGGTGCGCTTGTCGCGGAGCGGTCCATGCGGCTGTACTCGAATTGTTCGTTGGTCCTGGAACGACAAGCGATGATCAGGAGGGACACGGTGCACAAGAACACAAACGACCCGGTAACGGCGACGATGACGACCTCGAGGTTGAACAAGGAACGCGGCGGTGGCACACTCCTCCTGGTCACGTCGCGCTCGAACGTCACGCCCACGGACACCACGATGTCGCGCAGCCCGGCCAGACCACCGAGCCACGTGGAACGGCACACGATCCGGTCGGTAGCCAAGGACGTCACGTTGCAGTGGCCCCCGTGGTCCCGGAACCGCACGTGGACGTCGTCGATCCCGTAGCCGCGGTACAGGTCGCGACCGTTGATGGCCACCGCGGGACGGTCGCCGAACGTCTCGAAGTCCACGAGCACCGGGTCCGGGTACAGGAAGTAGATGCGAGCGTCGGGCGTCGGTGACAAGTTTAGAGCGCATCCGGTCTCGGAGTCCACGGCCAGGACATCGAAGCTCAACGTGGGCCCGGGGCCGTGGACCGCGGGCGATCGGCAGACCATGTGCGCGTCGTCCAGCACCACGCAACCGGCGCGTCGCGGGGTCCCGTCGCTTTGGTTCACGTGCACCGTGACGTTCGTCAAGCGCGACAGGTGTTGGCCGCGCACCGGAATCGCGTTGCCGCCGGACGCGATGCCCTGGAACCGTTGCGTCGAGCCGTAGCGCAACGTGGGCACGTGCTCCGCGGCGGTGCGGTTGCGGTCCGTCGCGGCGGCGGCGTCTTCGACGAACTGGAACGTTTTCGCCGACGACGTGACCGTGAGCTTCGTCCCGACCGGAGTGTCGAACGTGACCCGGACCGGGCCCACCGGTTGATCGTCCCCGTCGCCACGCGTCCACGGCGCCACGGTGCACGTTATCGTCGTCACACCACTGACGAGGCCTCTGCGCTTGGACACCGCTTGTTGCGAGCATCCGCGTCCGGCCACGGTCACGGTCGCATGCGCCAGCCGCATCATCGGATGGTAGCTCAGAACGATCGTCATATTCGTTCTACCCGCGAACGGACCGCTCGCGGGCTCGAAGTATAGCACCTCCGCGTACGGATCGACCACCGTCGGTTCGCCTTTTCGGAGACTCGGGTCCGGGGACACGGTTCGTAACCAGTTGCCGTGCGATATCAGTAAGCACACGATCGTCTGCGTGAAAAATCGACACACGTTTGCGGTGAAAACGTGCTAAAGTAATAAAACGGGTGTTGTCGTCGGGGCCGGGGAAGGGCAACGGGACCGTTTCGCTCTGGGCTCCGGTCCGGGAAAATTTAAAGGGGACCCCGTTAAAAGGAAGATTGATCAGATATACTCGCCGGTACCCGTTAGAGTTACCCATTGATATTATTTCTAAACTGTTTTTCTTTACGAAGTATTAATAAAATAAATTAAATAAAAATAGCTCAAAATTATTTATTAAGCGCAATGATATAAACTACATTTTCAATTATTGTAATTTATAAATAGTTATAACTGCAATTCATCGTGGTAACTACCGGAACGTGAATAATGACATAATTGTATCCAAATTTATGTAGAAATTCGTTATCGCAAGTATCGATGCCACAAAATCCAAGTTCTTATTTTCTATGCCTGTTTATAAATTATCTAGGAATAAATTTAATTTTAATTAAACGTGATCATGCATTTTTGGAAAGTTATTAAAAATTTAATTCATTGTTCGTATGCATTTATATGACCTTGATTGGTTGAGGTTTAGAAAACTATATTTACCAACATTTTGTAAACTTGGAATGTATTTATTTTTTTATTTTTTTATAATACTCGTATATCATTGTGATAATCGAGGGCTTCCCGAATTAATTTGCCCCAGGCCCTAAAAATCATAAGGATAATCCTGGGTAAAGTACAATTCGATCGTGATCGTTACGGAAAACACAGCGTCGTTTTACTCACTACTGGTACGATGAGTAAAAGTCCGTTGATGAAGAAATAGTACCAGAAATGTTCACATTGTTTTGGTCTTCTGAGTGATTCCATACTGTCTCCGATCTGTAAACAGCTCTAAATTGGATAAAAATACGAGAATTATTAGTTATCTGTTAGGAAAATTCCTTGGACATACGAGTAGATACTTGATATTTTCCACGCTGCGGGGAAAAACATCAAATTATGTATATTTATTTATTTAGGATTTACTATTAATTTAGGCCATTTTGGGGAGCACGAATCTTACCACCATCACCACCGTTAGTACAATTAGAGCCGTAGACTAGCCAACCTCCAAATTTCATTTATTCTCTTCAAAGCGTTTTTACTCATAAAAAACTACAGTGTGAAAGGGTTATTCGTAATTTTTTCATAATTAACTAAAAAAGAACGTGGTCGAGCAACAAAAATTAATCGATTTTTTTAATTTTATAATTTTAAACAGACTCGTATAAAAGGGGAAGGGTTAAGGGTGCAAAACCCTCCACGAATTCAGGAAAATTATAAAATATATTTTATAGAGTAAAATTGATTGGTAGATTATATTATACATATAAGTATGAAAATATACAACTTATAACCTCCTCAAAATATATTGTTGTGTACGTACCTGATTGTAAGTACCTATATAGATAATTAATAATTGTCAAATATACGAAATATGTTTTTTTGGCATCAATATCATTAGTACCATAAATTGAGAAATTAAAAAATATTAATCTGTGAGGAGCAAAACGCATTTAAATTGTATACTTTCATTATTTATTGAATTTTAAATTAATTTAAATACCTTATAGTGACTTTTTGATGTAGACAACTATTCTAGATTCGACAAATTGAGTACAACTTTAAAAAATATATTTATCTTTGAAAAAATGCAATGTAGATGAACAGACATTTATTACTACATTAAATATTGTGATATATTATTTGATGCTTCAATTATAAACTGCTTAGGACTACTTGTAGACGGCGACTGTTTCACAAATAATACATTTAATAATCGATACCTAATTTTTTTTTTTTATATTGTGATTTAAATTCAGAGTAATCAACCAAACAATATTTATAATATTTATGTTTATCTAAATAATAATGTTTTAATGATCAATAAGATACAATTTAATTTAATTCGATATATAAAATAATAAAAACATATTAAGTGTACGACAAGACAATAAAATATAATATAATACAACTTATAATGGTATTGACTATGTAAATCTAATGGTTACATCTTAAATATTATCAAAAATATTTAGGAATAGTATTTACAAAAACGTTGACATTATAAGAATTTTATGTCAATTACTTTGATGTAACTGATACTAATAAATAATAAATTCAATAATAGTATTCTTTCCTTTACATTATTATTATAATCGTGTTTGAATATAATTGTTATTAGTCTATTATTATAATAATTATATAAAATAAAGAGAAAATATGAGCTGTAATTTACAATATGAGTGGGATCAAGACAGAATTTTTTAACTAATTGAGTTATTGAATGAATTAAATTTAATCAAGCTAATTATCCTTAACTTATCTACATCGCCACAAGCACAGCTTAATGAGTTGGATTAAAAATAATAATAAATTGTTACAAATCTATTTTTTAATTTGTTACTTTTTTTTATGTATAATGTAATGTATTCTATTTTCTTAAATAATAAAAAAAAAATTTATCGTGAAAAACCAGTTTTACGGGACCCAAAAGACAAACAGCTCTTAAAGGAAATAAAAAAAAAAAAAAAAAATAATAATATATGAATGGATTGAATTATTAAATTTATTTTCGAGTAGTACAGACACAATAAAAGGGAAGATGAACTATTTATCGTCTTCTTTTCATGATTTGATGATTTGATCGGACATAATACAAATTACTGATGAATAATACAGACAATTGCATTTTCTGAACACAAACACACTGACGCAGTGGCGTAACGATAGGGTGGCATGACGGGCAATGGGTCACGGGCCCACGACTCTAGAGGGCCCTTCAAGAAAAAAATAGTACATTCAAAAACAAATCATCATAATAGTGAAATTTATAAATACGATTCTGTTTAAAAATATATGTATATTTTTGTAAAATAAAATAAATTTAATAACTGATCACGATTATGTTTATAAATTATTTTATTTACCAGTCCGTCGACATTGTCGATATTAATATTATTATACATTTAATGATATTGTTATTTGTAAAATGGAAATAACAATGAAACGTATCGCAATCGCTTGTCTTTTACCGCGGTTACATGCACAGTTAAAACCGATTTAACTCAATTCGAATTAGTTAACTCCTGGAGTTAAATGCATGTAAACGACTGTTAATTCAGTTTTATACCAATTCGGTTTACCTAAAACGGTTTAGTTAATTCACATTTGAAATGCGCATTGGAAATAACTACGGGAGTTCAAAATGCATATAAACGGATGATACTACAACAACCGAATCAGGATTGCGGTAATTTGTTGTGATAAGGTATAATACACGTTATCAATTATTAAATTTATAATCAAGGTGGATCTATATATAGATTATATATATAGATCCACCTTGGTTATAATCTTCGTGGTTATAATAAATGATAATTTTCATTAATTTATTGATTATTCTGTATCTGTGATAATATTTATTAATTAGTGAGGGATTAAGTAGGCAGTCAATTTAAATTCAAGTCAAATTAAAGAACTCGTAAGTACTAAATTATAAACTACTTAATATAGGTACTGTACTTATTATAATATATTATTACTATACAGTATACATCATGAATCAAATAATTAAGAAAACTCGCACTAACTGGCCCGAATCAACCGTTTTATGTATGCTGGATATATTTAAAGAAAAACATATTTTATGTCATTTGGATCATTCAAAATATAGGAACTCTGACATATTTAAAACAGTTGAAAAGTCCCTTCGCTTTTTTATAACTAAGCGTCTCAGTTTGTTACGTCTTTTATTTTGTTGTTTTAAATTCATTCGTAGTAATTCCATCATTTGTAACAATTGTAAATAGTTAGAAGAAGACATACTTCATAGAATTTTACAAAATTCTACACATTAAACAATAAAACAAAGTTCTAAAAATTTTTTACTTTAACGTCTTTAACTAATAACTATTAATAATAAATATTAAATTATAATAATATTATCACATAATTGTTATCAATAGAATATCACTGAATAAATTGGAGGGAAAAAATGAAATTATTAATTCGAATATTAAGGTAAATCGGTTTAAACTGTGCATGTAAACGTTGCCACGTAAACTGGTTTGGTGGAAGTGTATTATCCTAATACGGTATTACTATAGTATGTATACTTATGACCTAATTCGAATTGATTCAATACGAATCAAATTAATACGAATTAATGGATGCATGTAAACGTAGTATTTGAAACCGAACGTAACATTTATATTTAGATACTAGATCAGATTAGAACTATTCTAGGAAAAAGTGACCGTCGTTTAGTCGTTGTTACTTGATGTTCTTTTAATTTATATTTTATTTTGTTATTAGTCAATGACGTGTCGTTTGGGCTGGTCGTTATGAATCAGTTTTTGCGCTTAAAATTAGATTTGTTGAAATTCAAAAAGCTTTAACAAAAGTTATACTTTGTAACTCTAAGTTAGATGAGCGAAATGAAGTAGATGGGATTAAAAAACAAATTGAAAATCATAATTTTATTTGCACTTTAGTTTTTCAATGTAAAATTTTACAAATTATAAACCTAACTTCTAAAATTCTCCAGTCAAAGTCATTTGATTTAGATAATGCATCTAATTTATTAAAAAACTGTTATGATCAATTAAAAGAATATAGATGTAATTTTAATGATCTCTTGGAAGAAGCAAGTATAGTTGCTAAAAGTTTGTCTATCTCTACAGAGTTTCAAAACAAACGTCGTAAAGTAGTAAAAAGATATTTCGATGAACTATGTACTGATATGCGTTTAACTTGTTCAGAAAGCTTATTTCGTGTAACTATTTTTAATAGAACGTTGGATATATTAATAAATCAAATAAGTAAACGTTTTTCAAGTTTTCATGAATTAATGCTAAATTTCACATGTTTACAACCATCTTTTCTCACATCAGCAACAGCTTTAGAGCTTTTAAATGAAGCTACAAAGTTGGTAAACAAATATGATAAAGGCATATCAAAAACATTTACAAGTGAAATTTTAGCTGTAAGATCAACTCTTAAAAATCAAATAAATCAACTTAATTCAACTAGAGATCTTGCTCAACTTTTAATGGTGAAAAATCATTCTTTAACAGCCAGTTTCCTAGAAGTATGTACTACTCTTTTATTATTTTTGACAATTCCTGTTACATGTGCAAGCGCGGAACGGTCATTTTGGAAACTAAAAATTATTAAAAGATATTTAAAGAGTAAAATGATACAAGATCGTTTAAGTGGCCTGGCATTAATTTCAATCGAATAAGAAACAGCCCGAGAAGTTGACTTTGAAGATTTAATCGATATGTTTGCCGAAGCAAAAGCAAGAAATTTTGAATATTTAAATTTTGTATTGCTTTGTATATATTTTTTAAACCAAAAAATGTTTAGTAAAATTTTACTATAAAAATAATATTACACTAAACATGTTTTTTATTGTTTGTAACCTTAAAGGGTAGAATTGTATAGGTGGTTAGTTTTTGAAGGATATTCCTCATATCTCGTTCTTCAAAATTTATAAAACTAAGGGCCCGATTGGATTATTTTGCCACGGGCATTAAAAGTTCTGGTTACGCCACTGCACTGACGTACATTGGAAAACGTATGATCGAGTTACAACATATATTTCTAGGCGCGGTACGTACGTCAGTGCTAACGAGAATATTGCAGAGGGTAAAATTGTTGCAGCTACGTTGTTGAGGTACGTCCACATTAGACGCAACATGCGTAACATGTTACTGTAACGGTGTTCGGTGTTCGTTTGCATTGTTGCATTCGCATGTTGCACCATTAGCTTGCAACATGTTACAAGTCATAATATAGTGGTTTCCATACAAAATAAATATGTATCCATGTAAAAAAAATTAGTACCTTGAAATTGAGAGTATAGTCAACATATTTACTCGGGTAGCTGTATATATCTTTATTTGCCTAGCTTTAAAGAAAAGTCCAAGGAAGCGTAAGTGATGGCAAATTCGAGTATTCGCTCACAGATTGCATTGTGGTGGAAGTAGATTTTTTTACGACATTCGTCAGGGACACCGTTATCGATGTACCCGTTGATAATTGATCAGCAATGGAAATCCAAACATCATTTTTTAATATACTATTAAAATGATTTTAATGCGAAGGATTCCGTAATATTTCTTTATCGAGGTACATTTCTATACATTTTAAAATAATTTCGTTTGACCACTCGAACATTGTATATTCGAAATAAAATATTTTAATAAACAATAAATGCAAGCTTGTTTCTGTGTCAAACGTCAACTGCCAGTTGGAATAACAAAAATTATTAATAATTGGTTAGTTATTAGTAATAGGTTCGCAAACCTGTCCATACTGGCTGCAACATGTTCGTGTAACATCCTTTGATGTTTCACTAAATTGCCCGGTGCATACTACTTGCGTCCGAGATTATTATCAGTAGGTAATTTGCGTCCCACTAAAAAAGGTTCAAAAAAAGGTCATAGCCTATTTGCGTCCAAGAGTATCTTTTGAGACAGCCAAGTTGCTACCCAGCACAAATAAGTCATAAGCATAGCATAAAATAAGTATTATGAGTAATTATTCACATTTAAATAAGTAAAACTATTCAAACTATTTATAAATTATATATAAACAGTATAGCACTGTGCAAAATACTTTGTGTGATTCTGATCGATTATAGTATACGATTTACCTATCTATCAAATGAAATCTCTGGTCTCTTGGTTTTTCAAAGCATTCAGTTTTATAAATACGGCTCGGAAATTGGCGAC